TTGAACCGACCCCTTTTGCTTGACACTTCGAAGTTGAACGTCGGCCGATAATAATTTTGTTAAGATGGTTTCTTTTTCCGCTGCCAGGCGGTTGAGGGTCTCCTTCCACAGATTGCATTCAGCTCAGATTTGATCGACTTCTTCTCGAAGTAACCCGATCTTTTCGATCTTTTGCTGAAACTGAGACAACGAAGGGTTAACTTCCACGGTTGAGTCAGACCAGAACGAGGCTCACCTGCTTATCAAGCTCGACCCCTTCTTCACGGACCTTAGCCAAATCCGCTTGGAGGTCCTTTATAGCCTCGTCCTTTTGGCTGCAAAGAAGCCACAGGGCATCTCTCTCACCTGAGACCTTCCGGAGCTCGGCCTCACAATGGCTAAAATCGACTCGAAACCTACCAATGGCCTGCATAGTAAGAAACACGAAGTCAAGTATGGAAAAGAACAAATAAACGAAGTATGGAAGAATCATTACCCAAGTAATGAAACGTTGAGCCTCCTCCAATAAAAGAGAAGCGTCACCGATATCGGAACCGTCGTCAACTCCAGTAAAACAATCCCCGAAAGGATCCCCTGCACCAGAGCCTGCGCCGATATCAAGAGTCTTCAATTCTCGAGCTTCCTTCAGTGCCTCCTCAGAAAAAGATGGAAGAGAAGGCAAATCACCCATTTTCATAGCCCCGAGCAAATCGCTCGGAGTACTCCGGTCGAGATTCTGGTTTTTGGGAACAACCCCGACAGGTACAGCCGCCAGCTCTGGCAACCTCGATGGCCTCCGTAGACCGAACTACTAAAGCCGAGGAGCTATTTTCTTCTTCTTCTCTTAGTCGTTGGACCGAGTCAATCGAAAGGGCAATTGTTTTTCTCTTCACCCTGCGAGTTTTGGGCTTGGGGTCCTCTGAACGAGAGGAAGCTTTTCGCTTCTTATCTTCCCCCTATTTAGGGACCAGGGACTTGTTTCTTTCCTCGCCGCTCGAAGGCCTCAAAATGGCATCCCTGGTTACACCTGCACAAGAGGAAATTGGTAACGAATAGAACGCAAAGAATACTTCGAAGGAAACAAGAAGCAAACCTCACCATGGTTCTTGGCCTCCCATCTGCCTTTTGCCAAATCACGCCAAGCGCGCTCGGCATAAGAAGAGGTCGAGGCCAACTTCCGAACCCATTCCTCGAGGCCGGGCACCGCTTGTGGCATCCAAGGGGCAGCTGAACATCACGGAAGGACATCAGAAAAAATCGGAAAAGCACATGAAAAGTGAACAAAAATCACTTACGGTCAAAATTCCATTCCTCAGGGAACGACATCTTCTCATCCGGAATGATATCACGGGTCCTCACTCGGATCTCGGATATAACGACTCATCCAACCTCGATCCTTGTCTTCATCGATGCTCGACATCAATGCCTTCGATGCCCGATGATGAAGTCTGATTAGTCCTCGAAAGATCTGAGGCCGATACAGTCGGATGAGGTATTTCAGAGAAAAGTCCAACCCTCCGGCTTTGGTAGAGAAGAATTGCAATAAGATCACTATACGCCATAAAGAGGGATGGATTTGGCCAAGGGTGACTTGATACCTTTTGCAGAAATCAATAATCACCGGGTCGACGGGTCCTAGCGTGAAGGGATAAGTGTAAACATTTAAAAAACCCTCCACGTAAGTGGTAACATCCTCGTCGGAAGACGGAATTTGCAGCACGACCTCGGAACCCCAGTTGCAGTCCTTTCGGACGGCCTCGAGGTGATCCTCCGTTATAGAGCATGTATACATCGATACGTGTTCACATCGACCCGGAACGGAAGAAGGGTTCTCCACCTTAAAATCGGTTTTCAAAATGCACGGGCCAGGAACATAGTCATGAACTGACGGCTCCACCGGCGCCTTATCATTAGACAGTCGTGAGGAAGAGGCTTTTTCCTTCTGAGGTACAGTTTTGGAAGTTTTCGCCATTGATTTGAAAGGAAAGAGTGCAAGGGAAGAAATAAACAGCACCAAAATTATGGTTTGAACGGCCCCGTAGCAGCAAAGTAGAGAGGATAAATAGGAAAGTCTGGAGGAAGAGAAGGCGCAAAAATGGTGAAAGTTGTGTGGAAAGATTATTTATAGACTAAGGCCTGACAGTTCGGTATCAGCGGTGGCCGACCACTGTCTGACACATATTAAATGCCTCGGTAAAACCGAGCCGATGGGACAGCCATCACATACGTCGAAATCGGGTTTGATAGAAACATCGGTATAAATTTGATCGAGCCGCAGGGAAATCATATCGTTCATCGCCACATCCTTTCCGAGAAACGAGGGGACTATCTGTGTACGGTCAAAATCGATTCTCAGTCANCTATCTAAATTTAACGTTATCCGATTTTTCGGGTAAATAACTATTTGAAATAACTCAAAAATACCAGTGTTTGACATTGACAAGCGGTTATAACTCTGCAAATTCAGTCTTGTAGTACTAAATCAATCAAACAGGTTGGCACTGCTACTGTTGTTGCAAAAACAGCAAGGGCTAAAAATTTTTACTCCTACATGTTAGTATGTGTTATTCTTCGGTTATTGGACATGCTTTATGGAAATGTGTTAGTATTTGGTACGAGTATATGTAGTTGTGTTATTTTTTGGTGAATTTTGAAAAATCTATATGAAGAATCTTCACTACCGTCACACTCCATGTAACATAACATATATGTGGAGACTAGAGAGAAAGGGATTGGGAAAAGTTTTGACCATTAGTTTTCGAGAAAATAATCTTATTCTATTTTATCTTAAGACGGTCCGTTGAAGTAAAATTTCATGAGAAGATTGGCCAAATATTAAAATCAACGACAATCTTTTCTCCTAGTTAAATAGAATAGATTTCGGAAAAGAGCCAAAAATGTCCTTGAACTATTTGAAATAACTCAAAAATACTCTTCGTTTGTTTTTGGTACCAAAAAAAATCCTTGCCATCTATGTTTTGGACCACAAATGCCCCCCTTAAACCGTTAGTCTTGCCATTGAAACTGACATGGCAGTCCAACTGGGTTAGATTTGCTCATGGCCATCCACCTAAGCAATTCAGCATGACAAAATTATTTTTTCAGAAAAATTATTTTTCCGGAAATTTTTATTAAAATACAAAATCAACACTTATTCCGAAAAAAGTAAAAAAATTCCGGAAAAATTATTTATTTCGGAATTTTTTTATTAAAACACAAAATCAACACTTACTCCGAAAAAAGTAAAAAATTTCCGAAAAAATTATAAGAACTTCGGATGAACCAATTGATACTTACAGTAGAGGTGTATCTTTTGTGAAGGTATAACAGATAAGCATCTAAAAATTTAGATCAAACTAATCATAAATTCACAAAAGAGAACAATGGAGTTTTTTAATCAAATCATAAACCCCAATCAAGAATAATTTTTCCGGAAATTTTTTCCTTTCTACGGATTAAGTGTTAGATTTTGTATTTTAATAAAAAAATTCCGATATAAATATTTTTTCCAGAAATATTTTACTTTTTTCGGAATAAGTGTTGATTTTATATTTTAATAAAAAATTTCAGAAAAATAATTTTTCTGAAAAAATAATTTTATCATGCTTGATTGCTTAGGTGGATGACCATGTAAACAAATCTAACCCAGTTGGACTGTCATGTCAGCTTCAATGGAAAGACTAACGGTTTAAGGAGCATTTGTGGTCCAAAACATAGACGGCAGGGATATTTTTGATATCAAAAACAAACGAAGGGTATTTTTAAGCTATTTCAAATAGTTCAAGAACATTTTTGGTACTTTTCTGAAGTCTTGTCGTTTTGATTTTAATATTTGGCCAATCTTCTCATGAAATTTTACTTCAACAGACCGTCTTTAGATAAAATAGAATAAGATTATTTTCTCGAAAACTAATGGTCAAAACTTTTCCCAATCCCTTTCTCTCCAGTCTCCACATATATGTTATGTTACATGGAGTGTGACGGTAGTGAAGATTCTTCATATAGATTTTTCAAAATTCACCAAAAAATAGCACAACTACATATACTCGTACCGAATACTAACACATTTCCATAAAGCATGTCCAATAACCGAAGCATAACACATACTAACATGTAGGAGTAAAAGTTTTTAGCCCTTGCTGTTTTTGCAACAACAGTAGCAGTGCCAACCTGTTTGATTTAACAGAAACTATTCAGTCTCCAGAAACCGGCTCCCAAACAGTAGTGAAGATGACAACACCATATAACTAACAAGACCAATGCTACCCACAACAGACCTTCAGACAATCATTAAGGTGAACATCACAGGCGCGTTGCATTCCTAATCAACACAGTGGAATTGAACAGCGAGAATATAACGCCACATAGAAGAGTCGGTGTTTTCAGTTGATTTCCACAAACGGTATGCAACTCCAGTGGATGCAAAATATTACATTGTCTTGTACAGTCATTTCAGCTGTAAAAATTACATTTTTATCAAAATGGTGTTGGCAACACATTAGAAGTACCGTATTCTCATTGAGGTTAATGGTTATTGACTAGAGAGTGGACACAGCATTCCATGCAGAAGAACCAAGTCCACAACCAGATGATGCAGTTGCTTAACCATTTGCTTGGAGTCCCTGCTACAACCGTAAAAAAAGAACAGACCCGAAAGCATATCTTAATTCCATATGGTTCTTACCCTGCTCTGTTGTGGGACAAGGAGAGCAACGCATGAATCCATCCTGGAATACAACTGGTGGTTTGATATATCATCCTTCCTATCAACCAGAACTAAGTCAACCTTCTGCTTAACCTTGAATCATTCAAAATAATAGAGAAATATTATGACATAAACACTTGAACACGTTCAACTCTGCAAATAATTCTGATAAGTCAAATCGATAACCATTCTCACCAACCACCATCGCTGTTAACTGGGGGGCTCATCCAATGAACCTCCATAGGGGTATACTTACTCAACACTGATGCAGCAGAATGACCTAAAGGAGAGATTGGGTCACTGTATCTTCCCCACTGTGTCTCTTGGAGATCAGGATAAGAATCATCTACATCACAAGAAGTCTCCTGATGTGAATTATTCTTTGAAGCTTTGGATGTTTGTGATTCATAAAGTACAGCGTCCAATAGACCACTGTTCCGAGGTGACAGACTGCCCGAATCAGCGTGCTCATTTGGAGGGGATTGAATCAAAGTATCGAAGGACTCAAGTGAAGGAAGTGGGGAAGGTGAACCCCAATTTTCCATCTGAATTTGGAGTGAAGGGAGCTCCAGCTTCTTAGCCCATTTGGGCTCTGAAGAAGAAGAGTTGCCATTTAAAGGGGCATGGCTGCCAGGAATTTCAACGGAGAATGATGGGTGATGATCAGATGTCAGATTATGAGTATATGACGAGGAAAACCCCAAGGATTGAGCAAGCAAAGAACCATCATTTTGATATTGATGGCAAGCTTGAAAAAGATCATCATTTAGACCAAAGAACCAAGATTCTGATCCTCGTATACGCTTGGATGGATGCATGGTTGAAAGGCCAGAACAAGTATTAGAAGAACTAAGACCCTGAGCCAGCAGGCTAGTTGCAGGAATATCAAAAAAGCTACTAGCAGCAATATTAAGAAGTGCCCGAGGATACAACAGCTGACTAGGTTCCAATTTTTTGAACTCCACAGTTGGAATCGTAAAACCGTTAATAGGCAAGAAATCAGGATGTGAATTTGCAGAGGAGAAAATTCCCAGCTCCTTATTTTGTTTGTTCTCACTAAATGCCTGGAAAGAAATATCCGGAGGGTAGATTTGCAAGCCTGCACGCTGTCGTTTCTTTATTCTGGTGTTCCAGTAGTTCTTTATCTCATTATCTGTGCGGCCTGGCAACTGGAAAAATGGAAGAGCCACGAGAAATTTAATAAATAGCAGTTATTCAACTTTGAAGAATGTGTCATATAGCACTAATCACTGAATTGAGAAAGTTCACAGAAAATCAGTATTAGAAAGTATCATCTGAAATAATGAAGACAATAAACTAAGTCTCTTGAAAGAAAGAGTCCACATTTTTAGTCCAAAAAAAAGTTATATCCAATATGCTTTGCATACAAGTCCTGCCAAGCATAAGGTCACCATTTTTTACTGCATAATATATACTGCAAGAGTTCAGCCAAAGCGACATCCGGATGAAGGAAAACAGACCTGGATATTACAAAAGATAGAAAAAGAACAAAGAGAATCATCATCCCATAACTTCATTCTCTTCTTTTTGCCCTGAAAAGATATTGGCTGCCTACTCCAGTCATTTGAAACAGAACTTATTCCGGTGCTGGCCAAGGGAGCAATAACAACCAACACCTATGTGTCAATCCCAAACTAGTCGTTGTCTACTGTATGGATCCACTATATCTACAAAGAAAAGGATGAATCCTCTATGTCTGCTCTATTCGGATCCATCTCATTCCAAAATGGTAACATTTTGTCTTTTAAGGCAATTTAAGAGTTCACTAAAACAAGTAGTCCTCTAAATCTAACCGCTACTCCTACCCGGACCTAATGTAAGTGTAACAATAACTAAACATTTTTTTGATAAGGTGGTATGAAGCAGCCAACCACATCATAATATTACGTAAAAGTATGTTAAGGCTGAAATTTAGAGGCGGACCTATGTTCAGATGTAAGGGTGCACCGGCGTCTGCCAGCTTCTGCTACATCTTGTGCAAATGTTGAGAACTTTTAAGAAATAGGATATATAAAACCAAAGTGGCACCCGCCATTCTAGTGGATGCACAAGGCTAGTTAAGCTCTAAATGCTGCACCGGTCTAGAAAAGGCTCTAAAGGCCCTCTGATTATGAACAGCTACATTGAACCACTAAAGAAGGGTAACTTCTTCAAATATCTTCATCCTGCGCAGGACCGCTCTTTCTTTTCCTTGTTTCTTTTTCTTTCTTTCTTTTCTTCTTTTCAAACTAGTCATTTCTACGCTTTTCACCCTTCACAACATTGTTGCATGAAGAGCACTTCTTGTTACTACTATTCAAAGTCAACTTGCAAAATATCGTATCGTATCCAAATAAGGTGCAAACCCAACATAACATATGGAAACAAACAACAACTCTTACTTAACAAATTCCAGATTCATAGATGATGATTGCCTGAAGTCTACCCTTTACTCCCACCCTCTTTCCTTCTTGTAATTCTTACTAATAATTTACTATTTCTTCTCGAGGAATAACATATAAAGGGAGTCGAACTTGGTTAGGAAGCAGGAGCAGGAGGGCTTTGCTTTCCTTTTTTTTGGGGGGTGGG